GACCCCCAAAATGACACAAGCATTTCCATCAGACACTACCCTAGGGTGCCTCTATAGCATAAGGTGTAATACATTAGGGAAATGAAAGAGACTTACCCTATTTGGTCTTTAGGGTATATTTTGATAAAAGGCAAATTCATTTATCCATTTGTGTCTCTTTACCAGAGCTATGGCATCTTTTACAGCATCAAGAGATACAATAAAAAATATTAACATTTCTTTTGGATAGGCAAATAATAATATTTGACATATCTGATACATGATGTAACAAGATATTTGATACATGATATAACAAGAACATAAAAGTATTTTCAAAGATACTGTTTGGTTGGTTACAAATTATAGAAATCCAACTCAAAGTGGCTTAAACAAAAAGGGAATTGTATTGATTCTCTGCTGGCTTTAGACATGTTAGATTCAGATGCCAAAATGCTATCAGAAATTTCTCTCTCTTCATTTTTGGAGTGTCCTTTTATCTAGGTTAATTATTTTCCATCTGGTTCTTTCTCTTGCCATATGGTGAGAAGATAGTTGGTAGTAATGTCAGGCTTGTGTTTTACTAGAGTAGAAACGTAGGTATCTATCTCAACAGTTTGGCCAAATTCTCAGGCTAACTCATTTTGGACCATCAACTAGCTGAATGAATGAATGAAATAACAGGTATCTACTATTGATAGGAATTGCTTTCTGAATGTAAGGCCATACATCTGTAGAAACCCTAAATAAAGTAGTTCATACTATTAATTGGGATATTTTAAATTGTAATTCAACTTGTTTTGCATTCATTTTAAAGTATGGTTTCATGAGGTAGTTCAGTAATTTTCCTCCCATGATGAAGAAGCCGTGGTGCCTCACAGGCACTCATAGACCTTTCTTTGTAAGACCATCTGAGTTGGAGTTCTTACATGGCAAAGGAATAAATTGGTATGTCTTAATGTTTATTTTCAATCAAAAACACATCAGTATCAAAACCTACTTACCTGTTATTTTTAACACTTTTCATAGGATTCCCGTAGAGATTATTCTTTTGTGGTTGCAGATTATCACTACTAAAATGGGTCTAGGTTTGAACAGGAACTTTACTACACAGAGATAACAGAGCAAACTTATGGGAATATTTGATAGTAAACAATAGGATACTGATAGTACAAAAATACAAAAGACATTTAGATAAGTGCAATCATATCTCAAAGATTTTCTTATCCCTTCTTCCAATTAAACTTTGTGTCTCCTTTATATATTTTTTACTAGTTCTTTTAAGACTATTCGATACATTTATATATCTGCTTTCCACAACTCATCCAGAGTTTCTTAAAGGCAGGAACAGTGTCATATATATCCTTTATCTCCACTCCAACACAGGGCCCTCAGGCCACTCAGTGTGCATTTCATAAAGGATGGATGGATGGTACAGCTATAGATCATAGTTCTAAAGGGAAAACTAATTTGTAACTATCAAGAACAGACCTGATTTAGCTGATACATGTTACACCAAATAATTTATGTGCTATTTAGGATCCAGTTCTTTTTTCTCTCAATTCTTTTTGAAATAAGAATACATATATTCACATGTCAGTGTGTTAACAGACTTCGCCAAAGAAAATGAAGCTGTCCATATGATTAAAATATGATATTTATAATTTCAGTATGCAAATGATAAATTTCATTTGCATGGAATGGGGATGCAAACACTGTTAATGCACAGACTTTTCCTTTACTAAATGCTGTATTCCTGTATCTAAGAAGTAAGCAAGTGGGCTATCTCACATAATTCTTCATGCTCCTCCTTTTCTCCCCGGGCCCCTTACTCCCCACCCAGGATTTGGTTGCCCACCATCTCCAAGCTCCCACACAGGTGTCTCACTTCCTCTTGGCTTTGACTTAACACATAAAATGGAAGTGGAGCACTGCTCTTTCTGAGATATTATACGAACAAGTTAATTTTTTGTCTCAACTTCTTAGAAGGTCTGGTTTCTGTGTCCATATTAGATTAGTATAGATATGGCTATATTTTTAATTCTTTATAAAAAAAATAGTGTAAATCTAAGAGGTTTTAAATGTCCTTGTGTGAAAAATATAAGTTGAGTGACATTTTTTGGCTAAACTATTAAATGTTATATTAATTAAATTTGGAATTTAATAACTTTCTATTTCCTTGAATTTCTAATTTAATTTCTAAGATAAGTAATCTTATGCAGAATTGTTACTATCTAAAATTAAGAAGTGATACATATTATAAATATTAATATGTAGTCATTAATATCTTCTCTTAATCATAGCACACTTTTAGTTATATGTGGACAAATGTCATTTATACCAACAAAACTTGGGGACCACTTCAGTATCTGATAAAACAGCAATTATGGATGACAATATTTTATATAGGATTATTTTAAATGGTTGAAACTAAATTCCAGTTTCAACTGGAATAGTACTTACTACATAAAGACATCTTTAGTATAAGGAGAGATGATATGGTGGTGTAATTCTTTAATTTACAAAGATGTGGATTTTTTGGAAGATGTTTACTTTTATGAAAAGTTCACACAGTTTCTAAACTACATTATTTCAGAATTTTTGAATATTTAAAAGAAAGAAAAATTATTAAAGGGAGAAATAAAAAAAGAAAGGTAGATAAGGTGCAATTATGTAAGTACTAGGCACAGTTTTATAAGTTCTTTTGAAGGACAGAAGTAGTCCTAGAGTTAAAAAATAAATTAAAAACACTGTGATGCATTAAATGTAGTAAGAGACTGGTGTGCACTGTGGTAGAAATAAACACCATACGATTGTCACACATCTAATAGATGCTTCAGGTTATTTTAGAATGGATGTTATAAAATTATATATTTCATTACTTTTTATTGATAATCTATAGTTTTCAAAATTAACCTTTCATGTTTTATTCTCTTCCTGGGTTTTGTCACACAGGTAATCAATGCATTGAGCAAAATAAAAGTGATATTAGGATTTAAAATAATTTAAGAACCACTCTTTTGAAACTTTTGGTTGATTAACATATCTTTCTTCCTAAAACTTATTTTAAAACCCTATAGTTTGTTAGTATATAAATGTTTTCAACAGCACTTTATTGTCAAATTATTCTGATTTTTAAGAGAAATATTTATAAAGTATAATCATATTTGATATTCAGGATTTAAATCCTTAAAAGTAAATTTTCTCAATATTTTGTGTGCATGGGATAAAATATAAGGATGATTTTAATTCATCTTTATAATTGAGTTTAAGATGTAATTATGGTTTAACTTTCAAATTATAACACTTAAATATACTTTAATTAAGCATTTCAGACAAATAATTTTCCACAAAAAAAGTCTGTGAACAAAATTAACATGTTAAAGACTTATTTCTCAGTCTACTTTTGAAACTGAATGCATTTAATCATGGTGAATATGAAGGATGTATTTGATATTGCTAAGAAATATTTCAAGAAAATTTAGATTTCTTTTCACTAAAATGAAATTATACAGACAAATATGAATAAAACAAAACTCTACTGTGATTATAAATTACATGTGTGGAAAGGAAAGTGTGTGTGTGTATTTGTGTTTGTCTGTTCATGTGCATAATGCGTGTGAGTATATTTATGAGGTGACACAGTATAGAATTTGAATTTCTACTTTTCATCATTTGCTACTGTCAAGAGCAAAATACCAAAAATGTGTGGCTTTATTTCTTTAAAATATTCTTACTTAGATCTGTTTTAAAGATGGCATGGCAATACTTGCTAAAAAACGAGCTTATCGAATATCAGATAGAATATCTAAACTAAATTCCTGCTTAAATCTTAACAGATTATTTCAGCCTGTCCACTTTTAATGTCTGTGACAAGAAGAGTGCCCTTCAGGGCTTTGTCAGTGACAAACTCAGTTTTTCATCTACCAAATGAGTCATTAAGAAATGCCCTGTGTATTTTTGTGCTACCAAAATGCAATTTAAAATGTAAATATGTATATATTAATCTTCAGGGTTATGGAGGATACCACACTCATTCTATACTTTTTATTTGACTGACTAAATAAATAAAAATATGCTAGGTTTTGTGGCTGGATGTTTCAATACAAATTGGCTGAAATGCCTATGACTTCTATGGGTACGTCAGATCGTTACAGGTATGCATGTAACTGCAGCAATTTTTCAGTTACCTTTGGTGACATGATTGTGAGCCCTATTTTTTAAATGTAGCTATGACTGCCAAAAAGAGAGGAGTGTCTACCTAATCAAAATAGGCATTTTACACATTTAGATAGAATAGGTAGGTTATATCATTCTCAGATAGCCTTAACCTACCTGAAAGCAATTGGATTGTTTTTATTGATTATTTAGAAATATTTGTTATTTTGTAAGGTTATATGTTGTATATAAGTTTGAAAAATTAAAATACTAGTTACTGTATTGTTCTTTATCTCTGAAAATGCCAGTTGTGAAACAAGTAAGGTATTAAATAACATGGAAATTGCTAGGTGACAAGGAACATGAAATTAATGTTTTGGAGGAGCTCAAGCTAGAACTAGACTACTTTTCCTTTACTAACTTTGCTTTTATAATCCTGTACTCTTCATTTTAATATGTGTTGGAGTAAAGATATTCTTCAAGCGCAATAGGTGAAGATTCAGCAATAACATTTTGATTTCAGAGCTATATAAAAATGTTATCATTGATTTATAGTTACTATTCCTTAAAAAAATACTAATGTCTTAGAACTTCTACTGCAAAATGCACAGAGACTCAAGGACAATTTTTGTTTAATAATTTAAAAC